GAAACCTTATAAAATAAGAGAAAAATGCCAAACATCTTCAAAATTAGATTGGAAGAGAAAATGGGTTTTTCTAATTTTCAAGTAATATATCTTCCCTCTGATAAGTCTATGGCTTCCCTATATTTTGAGTAGTGTTACATTGGTTTTATTGATAAATGAATTTTTGATTTTTCATTAACACAAGTAATTAGTTACCGAGGAAGTGGTAACTAATTACTTGTGGGGTTCAAGACTAATTGAACTTCTCTAATTTTTCTCAAGTTATGCTTGACAAATTACGTCTTTAACTTTGACCTTTTAAAAAATCCTTCCACTAATTTATGTTGCTCAAAATAAGCTTAAATCACAGCGCACCCTCCCTCACCACACTGGTGAGGCCTCAGCGCCCTCTAGTGGTGTGGTCTGCACGCTCCGTCGCACGGGAGCAACTCTCTGACTTGAGTGGGTAACATTCCTCAAGTCATCAGAGTTGTACTTCCCTAGGTCATTCATTTAACAGATATTTAAACCGTACTTAATTTTTTTTTTTGTTAAAATGAGCCCTCAGCAAGAAAGCAAGGGGTAATGATGTGGGAAAACAACGCCCACATGCAAAATACCACTGCAGTCGCTGACCTCACAGGCCACCAGCCCATGCTGACTGCTCGCTCTGGGCCACAGCAGGGCTCTCCCGCTGCTGCGTTTTCGAGGGCGGCCTCCCCGCCAGGGCGGTGGCGGGTGGTGCCTGTCCCCAGGAGGCGCAGGCCCCGAGTGAGAAAGCCCGTGGGACGGAGGGAGAGCAGAGGTGAGCGCGTGCGAGCCCTCGCTGTTACTTAACGTTGCAGTTTTACTGGAATTGCAGGGATTTGAGTGAAATGAGAAATATCCTCTAGGTCTCCTGCTCCCCCCATCCCCCATCACTGGCTAACTCCTGAGTGACAGGTGTCCAGGGTGAGACTCAGAGAGGCCTGGCAGAAATGGCACCTGGGAGAACAAAAGGCCGACCAAAACTTCGTTAGGTGGCTGCCGAGGGTGCGGGTGAGTTCAAGCCAAGGGGCAGAGGGTGGGGGAGGGCAGGACACCCCCCCACCCCCCATGGTCCAGAGTCCCTCTAGCCCTTGTTAGTTTTGTCTCAGTGGTAACAGCCCTTTGTACCAGCAGGAGGTGCTGTCCCCTGGGGCTTTCGACTTGCATTTCTGTAATAACTAGTGATGTCGAGCACCTTCTCATTCATCGTCAGCCGTCTGCAGGCCTTCTTGGGAATAGCGTTTTTGTTCTCTGCCCATCTTTTCATCAGATTTGGTTTTTCGGGTGGAGCAATTAAAGTTGCACTTGCCATGAGCCTCTCTCGCTCCAAAAGCTGTTACTCGGGTTTAGGAAGAGTGTGTGCCCCACTAGTGGCATCTGCTACCTACTAGCAGGACCAGAACTCACAGCACTTCTGCCCCTGCCGCATGGTGTCGGAATTGCCAAGGAAACGCAGCACAGTCAGGGACCGGAAGGAGCAGAGCTGCGGTCTCCCAGGGAAGGGACAGTGGGAGACCGGCTTCCTCAGTGAGTGTGGGTTGCGGGGACCCGAGGTCCCTCCGGGAGCCCAGGTGAGGCAGATGGCCTGCACAGCCCCTCCTGCCGGACAGCAGGCCTGTCCTCTCTCTGAGGGGCACAGGTACTGGCCGGGGGCCACAGGACACGCCGGCCGCAGCAGAACAAGAAGGTACACGTGGAGTCTGCAGCGGGCAGAGTGGTTCTCAGCGGAGCTCCAGCAGACGCTGGGAGGGCTCTCTCCTCAGGAAGCGGCCCAGGCTGGGGCAGAGTCTGCGTGCAGGCGCCCGACTTTCCCAACAGACTGGCTCTGTCCCAGACGACAGAGACACTGAAGTTACGGGGGTCACTGGACTCAACGAGTTAGAAAATACACTCACCCCGAGAGCTTCTATCCACAGGGAAGCAGCACACTGAGAGACCCAAAGTTTAGGATCCATGTTATTCAGTGTCCACGGGTAACTGAGCAGCTTGTAAACTGAAGTCCTCTGAACTTCCGTTTCCTCTTATGTGGTGGGAGTTCATGCTGCCTACCAGCTTCCAAGTTGTAAAATATCCCGAGATAACAGGGAAAACCGATATTAAACACACCGACGCTAACCTACAGGGAAGGCCGGGTGCCGCCAGTGCTGCGCGGGAAGGAGAGCAGAGGACGAAGCTGTGGAAGCTTTACTTAGTGCCGTACGTATCTGAATAACTGCTGGAAAGCAAGCGTCCCTCAGTGTTTAAAAGAGTTGGTCACAGGGAAGGAGAAAACAATAGGGAGAGTCATGCTGCTGTGTGGCATTCACCTGCGCGTGGGGCCGATTTCATAAAACTTAGAGAAGACAACAAGCCCTTGGACCTGGGCTCTAAAAGTAGCAGCTGGAGTTAATTCTGTGCTTGGGTTCATGGTTCAAGGGGGTGGTCACAGTGAGTCTCGAGGTTGTAGACGTGACGACACATTGGTAGAAACGCGTGACTTCTCACATGGCTTCAACATTTAGGGACCAACTCGTGCCCAGAAACTAAACACTGAAAATGAATATTTAGATATTGTGAAACTGTGTAACACACACACACACACACACACACACACCCGTTAACATCCAGAAGGAACAAAAACAACAATATAACAAAGACTGGTCTTCTGCATCATTCTCAAAATTCTTCCTCATTTATTCTCCATCCCCATCACGATCAGCTTTATCAAGCATTTCCTATAAAAAAAATGTGATGTAAAATCTATTAAAAATTAATAAGGATATAAATGAATACTCAAATATGTACTCAAAACATTATTTTAAGTGTAAGTATGAGTACAATTAAGGCTATAACTATAAATTATATAAATAATTGTACATAACGATACATGTAAATTATAGCTATACAAATAAGTGAATTTTGCCTGAAGTTTGTCATCTGTTAAATTTTCCCTGAGCTCCTGAGCGACCCTCTCGATGTTGTTTAATGTTATGCCCCCAGTATCGTCGTCATGAATAATTTGAAAGACTTCAACAGTTCTTCCTTTTCACTCTTTAAAACCAGAAACAAGGAAACGTTACCGGTCTTTATTTGTTCTGCGAAGCTGCCCTCACAGGTCTGTGCGGGGCGGAGCAGCACTACAGCAGGCCCCAGGGCTCTGACCCACGCGCGCTCTGACTTTAGAGTTACGCCTGCGCACTCGCTCTCAGGGCCTGCTGAAGCGGGAGAGGCGTGGGTGGCGAGGAGGATGTATTCCTTGTTCACCCCGGCGGGCGGGTGAGCTCCACTGCAAAAATGTGAGCTCCAGGAGAACAAGTTGTCTCATTCAGTTTCCCAGAATGCCTGGGAAAAACAGGCGCTCAGCAAATGTTTGTGGGGTTCCAGGCCTCGCACTGCTGGCCCCATTCTCTCGCTCTATCCACACAGTCTATTTGCTAACACAAAACCTCTTCCGCACACTGGACGCCCTTCATCACCACCCTGAAAACATCTCTCATGTTGCAGTTCCTCTCTAAACCCAACCATGTGTAAATTCTTCTATGAAACCTTTGATTGCTCCCACCAAAAAAATGTCAAAGGCATTGTATTTGACAAAGACTTGTATTTCTTTGAAACACACAATCCCTATTATACCATTTTCACACTCATTATCAAAAAAATCTTCAAAATTAATGGTGCCAGTTCTTTCTTTGTTGATTTCAGCTATTAGTTTAACTTCTTTCTTTGGTTGAAATCCCAAGGCCTGCATCACAATCTGAAATAGGAAGGAAATAAATTATAATATGCCACAATCTCATTCCTTTTAAATTACCCCCCCCCCCCCCCCCCCCCCCCCGTCTGCCTTTTGACTGTGGACAAGTTATAAACCAGAAAGTCAGGTCAGCAGACCTTCAGATCTTACTGTGCCTCAGGATATATCACTGTCACCCCCTGAGCTTCGGACAGTTAGTTCATTTCTAAAACAAGAACAAAATGCTTAACAAGATGTTGTTTGGCGAGTGTGTGTGAGGCAGCTGTCTGCACAGAACGGATCTGATACCCAGAAGGCTACTGGTAAAGACTTCAAAGATCACCACGAATACATGTATGGTTTTGAAAATGTCTCAGAATTAGAAGTAATTTCTGGACCTTCAGATCTTTTACATCTATGGTTCCAGACCCATCGATATCGAATAGATCAAAGGCCTCTTTAATGTCTTGTTTCTGAGTTTCCATCAGTTCAATTTTTGCCGCTCTTTTAACTTCTGTGGGTCTGAACTTGTGCAGTTGTTCAATGCCTGTAATAAACACATGCGTGGGTGAAAGGCAAGCTATGTAACCAGAAAAGTTACCAGAACCAGAATAACTGAAGAAATTGAACTCACTATATAAGATACATCCTCTTCTACTATGTAGTGAACCTCAATAGCGCACCCCCTTTCCCTGCTAACAGTTTTGCTTTGGTTATTAATATCTTGATGGGAAGCCTTTTTTTGTGGTGGTTGTTTTGTGTGTGTGTGCTTTTTTTTTTTTTTTTTTTTACAGTTAGGTTTTTCCTTCTAATCAGTGCCGTTAGAGGAGAAGAGGCAAAGGCAGGCAGGCACAGTAGAAGGGGTGTCGGAACACAGTCGGCCGTACTGGGCGTAACCAATAAAGCGGTATCGAGGGGACCTTCCCTTCCATTTTGCCTAAATGTCTCATCATAAAACTTACTTTGGGGGATGTGCTTGATGGGGACATGATAACCCTTTTCCACCTTCCTGCCTATATCACAGGTTAAAAGCTCCCCCAGGTGTCTGAGTAAGAATACAGGTGGGGCTACTTCTCGTGTCCAGGGAAAGCCGAGGTCGTCCTCCTGCTCTTCACCATTTTCCACTGGCAGGCGAGGCCCGAGTGGCTCCGGGGCCTCTTCTGCAGCCTCCTTTGGGCACAGCGTCGTCCCCAGCCACGGGGTGAGAAGCAGCGGTGGCAGAGGCAGCGGCCCGACTCCGCCTCCCGCGCCCCCGGTGGCCAGCACACGGTGGCCAGTACACGGTCATGCGCGCTAATGGGCGCGGAGGCGGCCGCGTCTCGGTCCCCGGGCAGCCGGTACACGGCGGAGCAGCTTCGGGATCTCCAGCTTCCCGGCAGTACAGAGCTCGTCGGCTCCTCCTAGGGGCCCTGGCCCTCCAGAAGTGCCAGCATTTTATTTTTCGCGTTGTTCCCCTTTCCAGCCAAAGCGAGGTTTCCGTTTCCAACAGGGAACCTATCTTAGGGTGGAGGCGCGACCAGTGGACCTAGCTGTGGAGGGGAAAGGAGCTGGAGAACCGCTCTTCCGTCCCTGGCGTCGCGCACAGCGCGCTTATGCAGCAACAAGAGGAGGTGTGACTAAAGACCCTCGAAGACCAGGAAAAGAGGCGAGTAATATGTGGCACGATCTAAACAACATTCCTTCCGTGCTCTAGGGAGGAGCCTCAGGTCCAGCCCCAGCCGGAGGTCACGGCCGCGCACTCACCGTGGTGCCCACTGGCGCCCACCGGCCTCCTTCGCTCGCCTAGCAGCCCAGCTCTAAGTAACCTTTTCCGCTCCCAAGCCGTTGCTAAGGCCGCCGTAGCCGACCTTCCTCCGCAGGCGTGTCGCTACTGATTGACAGTCACTTTACCCAGTGGTCAGAAAAGAAGGTCCTAAGGCCCGCCCTCCCCTCGCTATTGACCAATAGCTTGATGCTTTGCCTTTCCCAACTACCATTTAGCGGAACTTTCCTTCTGGTTTCCTAGCAACCAGGCCCAGCCGCGGGCCCGCGCGGCCCCTTTCGCATTTGCGCAAATTGCGTGCGGGGACGAGGGGTGTTTGCGGCCTCGCGCTAGGGTGTCCCTGTGACTCCCAGACCCTGTCTGACGGTGGGAAGCCGCCTGGGGAGCCCGCCGAGGGGCTGGAGAACAGAGCGAGGTTAGTAGCGGAGTGCTTCCAGCGACTGCTCGGTCTTTGGTGGGGTCGGGGAAGCCCTTGTTTGTTTGTCTTAGGCTCCGACCCCGGAAAGGGTGAGAATGGAGGACCCACCGGGCCTGGGGCACACTGTCCAGCTTTGGCTCCCCTCCGGCGCGTTGGGCAGAGGCGGAGGGGCCGCGCCGCTGGGCCGTCCTCGGCCTCCGCGGTGCCTGGGGCCGGATCATTGACCCCTTGCCTCCTCCCTCGTTCGTGGGGGTTCGGCGCGGTGCGGGGGCGCGGACGCGGTGGGTCTCCCTGCCTGGGACGGAGGGTTACTTGAGTTGTGTGTATCTGCTGAGGAGGACTTCGGCTCCACCCATGAGCGCACCCAAACGGCTGCTCACACACGCTCACCCCCAGCCATCCCATTGGCCGAACCTACGGAGATCCAACCACATCCCACCTGGATCCACAGTCTCCATCCTCAGTCTCGGGAGTGGAATACAGGTGGCCTGATAAGCCGACTGACTCAGTAACGGCCGAGCTTCAGATGTCCATGTACCTTTAGTATATATACATTTTGCCAGCATAAAAGACTGGCAGTAAGCTGCTGTCCGTGGAAAACTGCTGGCGCGTGGCAGAATTCCATCAGATTGCAACGGGTCAATGCCAGGAAAAGCCGCTGGCCGAGCTTTTCGTCTTTGAAAGGATCCATTTCACAACCCCCTTCACCGACTTTGCCTTTGTTCGCTCAGCTTCGCAGAAGAGGAGGGATTCTTGTTTGAGTTTTTATTTTATGTTAATTATAGCAAGTTGCAGTTTCTTCAAAGTAATAATTTAGAAGTTCTACATTTAGGAATGCTGAGACTTTTTTTTTAAAGTAACAAACTTGGGATGGATTCTGCAAATGCTGAAATAGATCTTGTGAATATTTTGATATCAATTTTTGCTTGTAGATTAGTTAAAATAATTTAATGTCTCCTTTAGGAAACCTTTTTTTTTCACATAAATTAAATATAGACTAAGTTTTAATAGCCTTTTTTCTCTAAAATGCTTTCCTTTTGCTCTAAATTCTGTATGATTTTCCCACTCACATCTTGGAATTTAAACATAGTACAGAAAGGAAACCATAAACAGAGACTGTGACACCCGGAAAAAAAAAGGCACATCCATATGCTATCTCTCCAAAGAAATACACAAGTGGCCAAAAGTCACCGGAAAAGATGTTTAAAAGCATTAGTCATGAGGAGAATGTGAGCCAAAGCCACAGTGAAATACCACTGTAAACCCATCAGGAGGTCTAATATTAAAACAAAACAAACACACAAAAAAAGGTAAGTTCTGGTAAACAGGGTTGAGTGGTGCCCCCCTACACACACACACAAATTTCTGTCCATGCAGAATCTCAGGAAGTGGTTTTATTTGGAAACAGGGTCTTTGTAGATACAATTACTTAAACTGAGGTCACATCGGGTTAAGGTGCCTCAAACCCAGTGACTGTTGTCCTTGTAAGGGGGCCGCATGGACAAGAGGCAGAAATTGGAGTTATGCTGCCAAAAGCCCGACACCCCTGGGAGTGACTAGAAGCTGGAACAGTCAGACAAGATCCTTCCCTAGCCTCTTGGGAAGGAACAAATACCTTGATTCAGCTGCCATAGGAAACAGTATGGCATTCTCAGAAAGTTCCCTTTGCACCTACCCCATGAGCGCTCCTGGTGTGCAACCAGAGGAATTGAGTGGAATTGTCTTCTCAAATACTTGTGCACAAATGTTCACATTGCACTACTGACAATAACCAGAAGGCCCACGGAGGGTTGGATAAAGCTGGGTAAAGGCAGTGGTGGCGCAGCGCTGCAGACCCACTGAGTGCCACCGAATTGCCCACTTGAAGTGGTTGCGTTTGTTATGTGACTTTCACCTCCACTTTTAGGAAGAATGAACTTTGCTTTTAGAAGCAATATAAAAGGATGTCTTTTATACTCAGTGGCAGGCAATACTTTTAACATTAGAACCCAGAAAACGATAACCGTAAAAGAAAAGAAAAAGGGACTGGGGAACTAGGTTGCTAGGCAGCTCTGAGACCATTTGACTCCAACCAGCATGGTGTTTTTCTGTGTATTTTCAGCTGCCCCCAGGTCCCCATGGAGTAGAGTTGGATATCTTCGAGATCAGTGGCTTTGCAAGGTGAGTAAGATGACCTACAAGAGGGACCAGGGCTTTGAGGGTGATGGCGGTAACTGATGACTGGGAGCAAAACTGAGTTAGCCCTGAATTAGCAGCATAGGGAGAGAGCGGGAGGACCACAGAGGTGCAGGGCCCCGTGGCTGTGAGTGGGGATGGGTCAGGGTTATTGGTGTTGTAGTTGTCCTTCGATGCTGCCTAGGGGGAGGCCTGCGTGGGTCAGGAGTAATTTTTATTCCACAAAAGAACTTGAACGTGAGTTCAAAGAGTCTGTTACATGTTTTCCTGGAGTGTACTAGTGGCTTTTCTCCTAGGTCCCTGGCAGCCACAGGAAACTTCTCTGGAGGAGGGGCTGGGTTCCCACCCTTGCTGGTTGCAGGGCGTCTGGAGCCTCCGTGCTGGCTCCTCAGCTGCTGGGGTGAATCGGGGGCCATGGCGCCGGCGCTGGAGGACAGGGAGACTCGGGGAGTCGTGTGCTCTTTGGTAGTGTGGATTTAAAAGATGGCGATAAAGGTAGTACTCGGAGAATTAGACTGTGTTAGAGGGAGAAGTTTGTGTTGCCTGCAGTTTTCAGCTCCCGCACCTTAACTGAGGGCTCCGACCTAGGAGGCAGCTTCCCACCTAAGTGATGTTAAAGCCTTTTAGCTTTAAAAAGCTGAAGTCTTTCTCTCGGAACTTCTTCCCCTTAGTGTTAGATGTTAATTTTGAAAATTATGTGGGAAAAGTCGAATTGCTCTCGAACTTCCTTTAAATATTGCTGTTTTTCCTTCCGATACTCTAATCAGTGACCAAATCCATCCTCTCCTCTCCATCCCTCCGCACCCTTCTCATCCAGTAACTAGGGGTACTCTTCAGGGCCGTACCCCCCTTTTCAGCCCTGGCCCAGTGGTGCTGGGCCCCAGTGTGGGCAGCAGCGGCAGTAGCAGGAGGAGGGCTTGGGAAGCACGCACCCTGCGCCAGGCACTGTTGGGAGCACAGCACTCCCTCCTCCTCCTAATGATGCCGGGCAGTACAGTCGGTGGGGGCTCTGGGGCTCGGGCAGAGTAGTTAGGAAGATCTCCGGAGGCTGGAGAGCTGAGCTGAGACCCCGGGCTTCTGGATTTGGGGTGCACGCTCACCCACTGGGTCCAGCTGTTTCTTAACCTCCTAAAGCCCTTCCGTGTTCCTGGTGTTCCCGGTGCAGCGGCCGGGTTGCTAGAGCTCTACTGCCCTGTGGGCCGCAAGCCCTCGCCTCCTCCAGAGCTCTGTCTCCCGCAGTTCCCACGCTCTTTACATGCCCTAAAACTCGACTGCTTGTTGTTTGATGCCAGCACTCCATAATTTTCACACACGTGTGCCACCTCCTTCAACGTGCCGACTTTTTCAGATGGTTCTTCGAAACTGGTTTCCAGCATCGCCTTCTCCTGGAGACCGTGCCTGCGGCTTGCTGGATCCCGCAGCCCCCCGCCCGGTGGAATGAAGGGTCCTCTCCCAGCACACACACCTTCACCGCCACCCGGTGGAGTGTAAGGGAAGCTGCACAATTCAGAAACTCCACAGAGTCCCCAACTGTGCCTCACTGCTCCTCATCGGCATTCCCGACCGTGACCCGCCCTCTGTAACGTCCCAGGTGTTCATTTCATTTGCAGGCGATGGCTCGCCGGGGGGGAAACAGGAGGAGGCACCTGGGACTCCAGCAGCTCGCCTCCGTTGCACGCACGGGGAGGACTCTCCTGGGCCCAGTGAAGTTGCCCAAGTTCGTTGTGGACGCAGAGGGTCGCGAGAGTGTGTTGGTCAGCTCCACAGTCAGGCTGCTGGAAAGGCTGGACCTGCCCCACGCGGTGGGGCAGCTCCTCGGGGAGGCCGTTCGAGCGCAGAATGACGCGCACGGGACTGGGGCCAGCACCCTCCTGTCTCTGGCCGGGGCGTGGAGCAGCGCGGCTGCCGAGTGCCTTCACCTGGGGGTGCCCGTGCCGGCCATCGCGTCGGGAATGTCCGAGGGCCTGGCCGCCTGCATGGAGGAGGTGGTCGCCCTTCAGGTCCCCCTCCACACTGTCTGCGACCGGACAGACGGCGCACAGATGGCTTCTGGACCCGGACCATCGGGTGTTGCAGTGGGACCCTTCCAGCAGACCCCTTCAGAGGCCGATTTGATGCCAAAGGAGCGTGGTCTCCACGATGCTGCCTCTCGGTCGTGGACTATTTCCAGTTTTTCTGGGTCACCCGTTAAATCAGCTACACTTTTCGGACCTCGGGCTGCGGGTGGAACAGATGCCGACAGGTCGCAAACTCCTCAGACTCTGAGAACAAGCCTGCCCGCAGCCCCACACTACGGCAAGCCCGTGCTGACCCACAGCAGGCACTGCGGTCGGGCCGAGGGTGCCCACGGGCAGGCGAGCAGACCAGGTCGCGTCTCAGAGCAACGTGCCGGGGCTCCCTACGCCCACGGGTGCAAAGACCTGGTCGACCTGGCAGCGGGTCTGAGCCACGGCGACGCCAGCAGCATGACATTGGCGGAGGCGGCCTTGCGGCTGCAGCGCCAGCAGGCGAGCGTGCGCGGGGGTGGCCGGGCGGTGCCGCTCACGTTTGACGTCTCCAGAGTCCTCACGTGCCGTTTACCAGGTTTACCGGAGGCTGCTTCCTGTGTCTGCGCGGGCTTCGTCACCGCTGCCTCGGCAGCTGGGACCCCAGTGCCCGAGGACGTGCATGACCGGCCTCTGCGCGTGGTCCTCATCGAGGGGGACCTCACAGAGAACTACCGCCACCTGGGGTTTAACAAGCCCGCGCGGGTGCAGGTGGCCTCGGACAGCGCGGAGGCGCTCCACCCGGACGGCGCGGAGGAGGCGTGGGTGGGCCGCGTGTTGCAGGTGTTGGCGCGGCTCCGCGTGCGCCTGGTCCTGGTGCAGGGAAGCGTGTCGGAGCGGCTCCTCGGAAGGTGCGCCCGCAGTGAGCGGCTGGTGATTGCGGGGGTGGATGGCAGGGTGCTACAGGCCTTCGCGGAGGCGTCGGGGGCCGTGCTGGTGGCCTATGTCTCCCAGGTGAATGAGGACGCCGTGGGCAGTGGGGTCTGCGTGGCCTTCTGGAGCGGCCCTCCCGGGGGCGCTGGCGACGGGGTTGGCAGACGGGCGATCATGTTGAAGGCAGAAGGGGTGAATTTGGTCACGGCGGTGCTCGCTGGCCCGGGGGCTGCCCAGGTACAAACCCAGGAAGACAGGTTCTGGGCCTGTGCCCACCGTCTGCACTGCGCCCTGAAAGAGCGAACGGTCTTCCTGGGAGGGGGTGCCGTGGAGTTTTTGTGTCTCGGCCACCTCCAGGTTCTCGCGGAGCAGCCTGTGACCGAAGGAGACCACGTCCATTCGGGGGGCCTGCCGACGGCTGCCTCCTGCCCGGCGCTCCACAGACCAACGGTGCTTCGCGGCCTGGCGAGCGGGTGGCGCGAGTACCTGTCGGCCCTGGCGCGGAACGCTGCCGGTCACTCTTCAGAATTCGAAGCTGGGGCCTTCATTCAGCAGCACGTGCAGAGCGCAGCGGCCTCCGGCTCCCCTGCGTCCTACGTCCTGAACGAATACAGTAAACTGAGCAGTGGGATTTTTAACCCAGGCCCTTCCCGGAACCGGGAAGACGGTCCCCGGGTGTACGACACCGTGACACCGAAGGTGGAGGCCTGGCGCCGAGCCCTGGACCTCGTGCTGCTGGTGCTGCAGACGGACAGCGAGATCGTCACTGGGCCAGGCCGCGCGCAGGTGCGGTCGCAGGAGGCGGAGGGCTTTCTGTTTTTGTAGCGCTATCCGCCAAGTCTTCGGGAAAGGGTTTTCGTAGTGTGGCCTGCTGATAACGAGTCTCCTAGTGGCCTAGTCGCCGTGCCTCACGTGCCAGCTGCTGCAGAGAAGAAAGTGATCAATGCCTGTCAGTTACTGTACGAGGACCTGGGCGTGGGGACGTCACCGCTTTCACAGTGTGCAGGGCCCAGCGGAGCATTCCTTCCCTGTCAGGTCCTGCAGCACAGCAGGAGCCTGGTCAGGGACCCGGGGAAGACCGGGCAGGTCCTCGTGCATGGTGGCCCCAGGAGGTGTGCCGTGTGCCCAGGGCCATCCCAGCAGCCTCCCCCAACAGTGCGCTCTCGCCCGACTGACACCCATGGTGGCCAGACTTGGCGTCGGTGAGTGCGCCAGCGACGGCGGCTCGGACCAGGCCGCCAGCCAGGGAGTTCCGTCCATGCCAGGTCCCTGCTGTCTTTCCGCATTAGCGGAGGCCGCCCACACCAACAGCAGGAGGAAGCCAGTGCGCAGTGCCGGCCTCAACCCCGTCCTCCACGGTCGGGAACTTAGTCGGCTGTACTTTCCAAGGACCCTTCGGTCTCTTTGTTGGAATGTAGTCTGAGAGCAGTTGTGCACTAGGATCCCTGACGGGCGTTGGGACAGACCTGCTGATCTTGGGTGTCGTTGACACAAAGCTCCAGGACAGCAGCCGCTGTCCCGGGTGGAGACAGCGCCCCTTTTCCCTCCTTCCAGCTATGGCCCCAGCAGGCTCGGCCCCTGCTACAGGACTTGCTGTGAAACCTGATTTGAGCACCTTTACATGGGTTTGATTAAGTCACGGGTAGTGCCACCAACCAGCTGCAGCCTCTGTTGTCCCACGTGGCGAAACCCGAGGGGACACAGACGTGTGACGGGATGCAACTCGGTTGTCCTCGTGCTGGGGTGAAAGACGTGGATTTCGGTTCCACGTTTGTCCTAAACGTGATCACATGACCTCCTTCCCCAGGTCCTCACCCCAGTTACGAATGCCGTCTTTGTTCAGAGTTAACAACAGTAGTGTCAAGTGTTGAGCAGTGTTTGAAAATAAAGTATATTCCTTTACTAGAGTAGATACGGACACTTTTACTCTCCTGTATGCTGTTACCACTTAGTTTTTGTTAAAATACTGCACGGTCGTGTGTGCTTCTGACATTAACGTAGATCGTTGGTCTCCTCACTTCGTATGGTAGGTTCTATTTTCTGTGAAGTCGGAATTTGCATTATTCAGTGAAATCTCGCACCTTTGACCCAGGAGCGTTGGTACAATGCAGATGTTGTGAATCCTGACTCAGCTCACGCGAGCGCCCACTTCCTCTCACGGCCGAGTCACAAACGCAGATGCGACACTCGCATCCGGTTCAGGCAGCAGGTCCGTGAGTTCGGTCCACACACGGTCACTCCCCTGAGACAGGCAACCCTCTGTCGTCCCTGAGGCAGGTGACCCTCTGTCGTCCTTGCAGGTGTCTGTAGGCTTTCGAAGCTGTGGTTGTGAAAAGCCTCCATTTGGTGACCACCAGGCACGCGGCCCCGAGAGACCCTGGGCCACTCTGACCCCAGGGCCCCCCACCCCCCAAACTAAATAGAGCTGGAAACTGCCCCCGAACGCACATGAGTAATTAATGGCTTTGAAAGGGGGCAGCGGGCGGTGATGCTGAGACTTGTAACCAAGTAGCATTCTACTTGAGTGGCACCCCCGCGACAGTGAAACACTTTCCAGTGACCCACTGTCTCTGTTACCCCATGAAATAAGTTCTCACCTGTGGCGCCTTGGCAGTGTGTCTCTGTGGCGCTTTTCGACAGCAAAGGTGTTTCTTTAGACGAGGGGCTGTGCCCGCCCCCAGCTGACTCCCCGGCGAGGGAGTCCCCGTCTGGGTGGCCGCAGGCCTTGGCCCGAGCATCTGCAGGGGCCTCCCTCCCCGGACCCCAGACCAGTCTGGATAAGCCCTCACTTTGCATCTGACAATGTCACCGACCAACCTTATTTCATGTTCTGGCACCTTCTTCTAAACACTTTTAATTCCGTATCTCCACCCGGCCAGGCCCCAATCTTTTTCACTTTTTTCTCTTTAACTGTGGAGGCCTCTTCCTCTCACCCTATTCACACCTCCGTCCTGGGGTTTTGCACATGCACAGAAACGCCCGCCCATCTTTTACTGCTTCTTGTTGCTCTCCCATGTGCGTGGACACAGGAACGTTCTCTGCCGTCCGTGGTCGGGGTCACACCAACCACGCTGCCGTGGAGCCTGCGTCCGTCGGGCGATGCGTGAGGAAACCGCCCCAGAGTCTCGAATAGAGTTCAGTAAGGCATCTCTGGAAGCAGCACATCCTTCCAGCACACGCACCCGCCGCGGGCTACTTCGCCCGCCTGGCAGGCGCCGGGTTCGTGCCGGGTCCGTGCCGGGGTGGGCGCTGCCACCCACGGGCTGCAGCCCACGAGCCTGTAGCTGCGTCTTCCTGTTGCTCATCACTCTGTCCCTTGGGTGAAACTTCCACGGATATTGAGTCAGCAGCTAGGTGGGCATTTTAGCTTTTCTAAGATATTTTTGTCAAATTCTTCTTCCAAAGTGTCTGCAGATGAAAGTGTCGTTTCTACAGCCATGTTCCACACTGGATATTGGGAAGTTTGTCTGGAATTTGGGTGAAATTGTGACCTCCCCTTCATAAACCTTCCTTCACTAGTGAGGAATAGAGGGGCAGTAATATTTCTTTACGTTTTTAAATATTTGACATTTCTATGTTTCCTTCCTTTGGTGTTATGTTTAGAAAGGTCTTCCGGACCCAGGATTACATGTCTAGTTACTTTATGGTCTTATTCATCCTTCACATTTAAATATTTAGTCCCTCTGGAATTTATCTGCGTGGGCAGCACAGCCTCAAAAAGAGCCTTTTCCGAACGGTCGTCCACTCGTCCAAGGTCACGCTGGGCCTTCGCTGCCTCTCAGTCACTTCTTAGCGATGAAGAGCAAATGCCGACAGAGAAGACGTTCTCGGCGCTGAGAAGCATTTTCGTGCCTTTGTAATGATGGACTCATACCGGTCAGTGTTGTCATTCCTGTCTGCTGCGTAGCAGCGTGTTCTACCGAAGAAAGAATGCAGGAGAAACCTGTCACCCTGACAGTGAGGATGGCGGAGGCAGCGTCTCTGTAGCATCGTCTCAGACGAGACTGAGAGCCCCTCTCCCAGGGAAGCGCTTCAAAACCCGCAAGAGGGTCGGAGTTTGCTGGAAAACCTTAAAGATTTCTTCCTCTTAACCTGTAGGTGGCAAACTTCCACTCCCACGCTCTTAAACATTCCACCTGCCAGCTTCAAGCTGGCAGAGTGAATTGAAAGGTGAGGTGAGTTTAGTTTGGGGGAGCCCAAAAGAGGGCAGGGGAAGTGCAGGTCCGCTCCCCTCACGCCAGTGTGGGTTTGGAAGTGGTCGCCCGGGACCTGGGCCGGAGTCCCTTCTCTGCCGCGCCGTGACTCCGGAAGGTGACCCGAGGTCTCGGCCCCCACCTTGAAGTCAAAGTGGAAGGAAGCCCCCTCCCAGCTCTGAAGCTTCTGATTCTTGTAACCAGTTTAAATCCCCGACAGATTGTGAGCGATAGTGAAACTCTCTTGAAAGGGGGCAAAAATAATAAAAAATTGCTTCTTAAAAGAGTCTAATGATAAGGCCAGACTAAAATCCATTGCAAAAACTTTAATATGCGATGTTCATAATGTTGGGGTTTCAAAATTGGCCACTTAATGGATTCAGACCTTGGCGATGACTTATTTTTCTGCCAACCGAGGGGCTCGGCAGAGAATGACCTGCCTTCTGCAGCGATAAGAATTCCCTCAGGTCTGTTGTCATTGCAGCCACAGCAATAGGTTACAGTGCATTCAAATAAGTCGGCAGGAAACGAGGACACGGAATACAAAACCCAGAGGAGCCGGAGTGACACGGGTGGGAGGTAACTAACAGAAGAGCTGGTGGACACAGGGCACATCTGTTCACACCAGAGACTGCAAACAGGTCACGTGACCGGGAGCGCACTGAGGGGCCTGCTCTGAGAAGCGTGCCGTCTGCGGTATGTGAACGTGTGCCCCCTGGGTGGCACTGGGGGTCTCCCGAACTCGGGTGAGCCTGACCCCCATCTCAGACCCGATGACCTGGGAGTCACAAGGCCTCCAAACGTGCCTGGGCTTCCCTTGGCCGCCGGCTTGAGTGCGCTCTGCTTTTGCCTTCCTCTCCCCACCCCGGGTGCCCATAGCTCCCCCACCCACTCGCACGCAGCTCTGCCTGGGTCTATAAAAGAGCTTCGTTTGAGGTCCGAGACTCTGCAGAGAGGGCAGGTGTCCACACGCAGGGCCGACCTCTCCCCATGTCCCCACTGCCCTGCCCGCCTGCCTCTCAGCTCCCTCTTCCTGCGTCATCCGTCATCAGTATGGTTGTCCCCAGTCGACTCCCCCTACACGTCCCCCCTCGGTGGCGGCAAACCCCTGGATTCCGAAAGGGGCAGCTCCTCCTGAGAGCCATATTAGTACATAAAACTTTCTCCGTCTAATTTGATCGGTAAGGTTGGCATTTACGTTCCACCGGGAAAGGAGGCAGAGTTTGCACGCAGAGACGTGATAACTGCGCTCTGCTCCTGACGCAGGACACAGTGAGGCGGCCTGAAAGCAGTGTTGCGGGTGAGTCCCGGCAGAAACTGGCTGAAAGGTGGAACTCGGGGCCCTGGGACCCAGCCGGAGAGGATGCAGGCAAGTCCAGCTGTGACTCGTCCTGTGGGGAGGTGCAACAGCGTCATAAGAATGGAAGCCAACGAGTATCCCCCACTGCCAGCGTTTGGGCAAACAGTTCGGACTGCGGTGGTGGAATGAGGTTTGCGCTGCAGTTAAAAAATGTCAAGTATGCATTTTACTTTCACATGCAAACAAGTTTATAACAGTGATGAAATCAAAAACAGAGCTTGAGATAATATTATGGCTGTGTAAAAACAGCAAAGACTGAAAGCCAGAGGAAGGTGAATCATTGTGATCTTCCCACTTTGTGATGTCGCGGCTTTTAGAAATGACAATACTAATTAGTGATAATTATTCTATCTTCTATTGTTACATCTCTTTTGTAGTAAGACCAGTTATTCGCGTCCATTTGAGCTGATTCTAATGTCAGTTGGAACCACCTCCCAAAGATTTTCTTCCTGTTAGAATTGCTGTGTGTCAGATTTTCCGAAGGCGCCGATTGAACCTAGGACCTAGGGACAATTGGGTCGCCTTTAAGAGTTCAGTATCGCGTGACATTCTGAGAAGGCTGATCAGGTTCTCGAAACACCAAGTCTAGTAGTCTGAGAGCGTCACAGCCCACAGGGGCAGAGGGGACACAATGACTGAGAGTTTTGGGGTCCTGGACATCGGGTGAAAACTAAGGAAATCTGAGTCAAGTATGGACTCCAGGTAATAATTATGTGTCAGTATTGGCTTATTAATTGTAACTTACCTTCTAAACAGAAGACAGTAATGGAAACTAGCTGTGAGGTATTCGCTGAGCCATTTTCACAACTTTTTCTGTACCTAAAGTTGAACTTTTATCTGAAAATTCTACTAGCGTACTCAGACAACTGAAACACCATCTCACGTACTGAACTAACGCACTAGATAACCGAACCGCGCTTGCTGTCGGCGCCCAGCTGATGAGGTGGAAACCGGCAGGTCACGTCTGTGACCGTGCGGCAGGTCACTCGCAGGAGACAGCCCTCCGCACGCACTGGGCGGGACCGTGGTTGGGAACCCGGGTGGGCTGGGCACCGAGCGGAATGCGCCCCGCACCGCCGCGCGTCTCCAGCCACATCACCGCCTCGCGTAGCGGGGAAGGACATCTGCTCTGGACGACACGGAGGTTTCCTTTTCTCGTCTTGGCCAAATGCGCCTGTGCATCCATCCGGCGCTGTGGTTGGGGATCTCTGAGTCTGGACAACACGGGGTCTGGTTTGTGTCGGAAAAGGAGACCCGTTTCCCGGCGTTAACCGCAGAGCAGGGGGCGGGACAGGCGCCTCCCGGTGGGTGGGTTTCCACTCTGGCCTGATGTCAAACGTAAAGGAGGCAGATGTAATACATTTTCCTCCGCATCACACTAATTAAACAAACACTTCGTTTCTTGTTAATGTATTAAAACGTTTTAAGGCAGCATTTGTGTTTTCTGTTTAAAAGCAATGCAAACCTCTGTTGATGAAGCCAGTTATTTTCTTAGAAGTAATGATTGGTTTCCTACAGTGTTGCTGAAACTGCCGTGTGAGAAGCACTCGGGCCACCTGTCAAAATGCAGATTCCAGGACCCTCCACCGCAGGCCCACGAGCGAGGTGGGGGGGCACCCGCGGGCCCAGGAGGCGCTGCCTTCGCGTGCGCCCCCTGCTGGCTGGGCGCAGTCTCCGACCGGTGAGCTGTGCTCAGTCCTGGCTGCTCAGCCTCGTCAGCACTGGTGATGCCCGACTGTCATATGCTCACCTGGGTGGGGCTGACACATCACTGTTTTTAACGCACCCTGGTTGGAACTGGAATTATCATCGAAACCACTGGCATCGTGCGTGGAACCAAAATTAATTAGGAAAACCTGCACTTTACTTCTTAGGCTCTGGTCAAAGAACACAGGCTGCGGACACAGCCCAGGAATTTCTCGAGCAGGTGCTGAGCAAAAAAGCCAGGAAGCACAGAGGGCGCTCCGATGGCACCGACCGCTGCTGGTCCAGGGTGTCCGGGGCACCGTGTGGGGACGGGACTGCCTGGAACGAGGTAAAGCTGGTGGCTGCCGGACGCAGAGAACGCAGCAAAAACCACGGAGGCCGACGTGGGGGGTTGCGTGTTGTGTGAAGTACGTCTCAGGTTGGAGGCGCTCCTGCAGCAGAAAGAGCGTGCGGTGCGATCATTTTGGGTACATTCGAGAAACAGACCTGTCCGAACCTGTTTCGGGGCGGGGGGGGGGGGCAGGCAGCAGGGCAGGCGCACCGGGACACCGACGGGGAGGGCGGGGGGTGCGGCAGGGCTCTTGTTCCCGCCCCCGGTGGCGGCTGCAGGGGCCAGCTCCCCTGGCGGTCATTAAATTTTGAGCTGTAGGCAGATGGTTTGTGCTTCGGAAAAACAGTTATCAAGAGAAGATGAAAGGATGTTCGGGCTCCTGCCTTTGGGAATACAGGAAAGAATCTGTCCTCACCTGTAATGAGAACAACTCCGATGAGTCATCAAGGTGATGGTCAGGGTCACAGGACCCCGGGGGTGTTTACCAGAGGTGCCCACAGAGATGCCGCCTTCCATAGGATCAGTCCTGTTCTGAGATGCTGCCTTGCGCTTGTCGGCCAGATAATATTCTGACAATTCAGTTCTTTGGGACCACCTGTAATTTATAATTACTTTTTATTCTGGGAAGTAAAAAGTTAGGCAAAACAACAAGAACAACAAAACAACCTCAAATTCCCCTATCGGGACACT